GCTCAAATGACCACTGAGCTTGGAGTTGTTCTGGTGTTCTTCTGGGAAATCTCTCCTTTTTGGAAAGCCTTCTCTTTCTCCTCTTGCAAGTTTTTTTTAAATTTAGTTGAAGTTTCACCATCTGCTTCCATCTGTGTTTTATGTTTCAGAAATTCTTCATTGTTTTAGTCTGCTGCCATGGTACTACTTTTGCCTTTCCTTCAGCTGTAGATTTGCTTTTCCCTTTTTATTTCTTCAGTTATTTCAGCGATAATTTTGGAGGGAGAATAAAATATAGGTGATAAATCTGCCACATTGAACCAGAAAATCCCCTTAGGTTTGTATTTAAATATGAGAAAACCACAGTCCAGAGAATGAAAAGGAAACACACACACACACACACACATACACACGGACAAAAACTTGACCAAAGTTACACAGTTAATATGTGCAGAACCAGGATTTAAATCTCAGTCTGCCTGGTTTCAAAACATGCGTTTTATATGCACGCACACACACACAGACACACACACACACCCCCATGCAGTGTGGCCAAGTGATTTACAAAATTTTGTTAGAAATGTACTACCAGTGCACATCCAGATAAATTTTACTTTTTCAGCATAGATATCTCATGAGGCTATTGTTGATCAAAATGTGTACAACATGCCTCTTTGGCAATCCCTTCAAAACCTTTGCTGTGTCCTTTTAACTATCTTCAAATCTTTGTTCCTTATGGGTGGATTTGACTTTTGAAAATTAGCAGTTATTTGGATCCAAATTTATTGATCCAAGAAGAATAATACTGGGTTTTTTTAAATCAAAATTAAAATTAGATATACCTATGAGATTTATTTTCTCAGAGAACTTGTGGGCTGATTAAGATAGTTCCTGAAGAATTACAAAAATATTTAAGCATTGATAACATTACTGGAGTAAGTGAATGACCTCATGAGGCAGTTGTTTTTATGTGCGAGCATACACATTTTGGGATGATGATTGTTTCTTATTAATTTGTAGTATATTAAAAATATTGTGTAACTAAAAATAATGAGTTTCACATACAGTATTTTTAGTACTTAAAAAATCCATTTTAACTTATCTTTTTTGAGGGTTACCTTGAATGTATTTTTTAATGTTTTTAGTAATTAAGATATTCACATGCATCAACATTCAAAAAAATTTTTTAAAAATTTGTAATGAAAAGTGTCTTCCTAGAAGTAGTATTTTTTTCTTCTTTACCTTCCAAAAACACATATACACACACACAGATTTCCCTCCGCCTTTTTTTTTTTTTTTTTTTTTTGAGACAGTCTTGCTCTGTCACCCTGGGTAGAGTGCAGTGGCGTCAGCATAGCCCACTGTAACCTCCAACTCCTGGACTCAAGCTATTCTCTTGCCTCAGCCTCCAGAGCAGCTGGGACTACAGGTGCATGCCACGACGCCTGGCTAATACTTCTATTGTTAGTAGAGATGGGTCTTACTGTTGCTCAGGCCGGTCTCGAACTCCTGAGCTCAAGTGATCCTCCTGCCTCGGCCTCCAAGAGTGCTAGGATTATAGGTGGGAGCCACCACACCTGGCCCCTTTTTTTATACAAACAGTTCATACTATGTACATGTGCTGTTCTGTATCTTAGTCTTTTTTTTCACTGAATTTTCCTTGGATGTCATTCTGTATCAGCACATAAAGAGCTTCTTTATTCTTTTTTATAATTCGTACAACTTTTTTATAGTTGTGCCAGAATTTACTTAACCAGTTGCCAAAAAAGCAAAAGGTATCTTTTGCTATTTTAAAGCTGTAAATGAATAATGTTATGTAGAGATAATTTTACCATAAAAGAGAATATATCTGAAATATAAGTTCTGAATAGAATTGCTAGGTCAAAGGATAGATAGATATTGCCAGATGGCCCTTCTCAGGTATTATATAAGTTTACACTCTATCTGAAAATATTTCTATTTCTGTATATCCTTGCCAATACTTTGAATTGTGTACTTTCTTGTCTTTGCCAATCTGATGGTTTTGTTTTTTTTTAAGTATCTCAATGTAGTTTTAGTCTATGTTTCTTTTATTGTGAATTAAATTGATCATTTTCAATGATTTTATATGTTCATTTATGTTCATATTCTCTGATCATTTATTGGGTTATTGGGTTATCTTATATTAGTGAAAGTAGTCCTTTGTCTACATCGCAGTTTAAAAAAAATTGTAACTGCTATTCACAGTTACTGCCAAATATAACACAAATCTGAGACTTCCTTACCAACAGCTGAAGAAAATTAGTAGATTCTGAATCAACTGTTAGAGGAGTAGAATGTGCAAAAGTCACCCTTGTGGTTGAGATAATACCCTCCATTTTGTGTCTAGAAATTTTTTAGTTATTTAGTAATATAAGGGTTTTTTTTGCTGGGTTCAGTGTGGCTAATGGGGATAATAAATTTCCCTTTTAACCAGATTTTAACTGGAGAAAGTATGATGTTGAGCCCTTTGCAAAGATGATAAATATTGATATTAATAGCTTGATCAGGGATCCCTAAGGGCTTGTCTTCTGGCCCCACTTCAGCTGCCTGTCTCCAACAAAAATGTGCTTGTCTTGTATTACATGTATATATACTTACTCATGTTTGTGTTACGAATGCAAACATGACCAAAAATAGTACATTTATTCCCTGGACAAAGGGAAATAGCTTGTATATGTCCTAAAAGATCCTAGCACACTTTCACACTTTTTATAGAAGGCAGTTTCTAAAGGAAGTTGTAAAATGTTGAAATGTCTTTATAATAAAAACCAACTTCTTTTAAGCATATATCCTATGCAAAACTTTTAATTGAATCAAAATTTGATTTGTTTGGGTTTTTTTGTTTGTGCTTGCCTAGTCACCGAACTCAGCACTTGAATCTTATTTTATTTTGAAAATATTTTATTCAGCTTATTTTTTTAACGTTTTTATCAAGACTAGTAAAGTGAGATATTGTGTCCTATTATTGAGTCTAATAAACTATGTTATAATACTTTATATTGATAGTAGATAGCCATGTAAATTTTCTTAGACTCTTAAATATAATTAACTTTATCTAGGTTGGATTTCTTAAAGGGAATAAGATTGAAGAATTAATGTATGGAGCAGAGCAATAGGACAGCTTTAGATAACCTTCTTTAACCAACTTCCTGATTTAAATAATGACAGGAATTAAGTGATGATTTTCCTATCACCATTTTCTTTTGTTGTTGTAGTTTAATTGTTTTCATTTGTTGTGTTTTTGAGAATCCTACAGAATTTGATTTCTCTGTCATTTGTCATGATAGAGACCAGTTTAATTAAAAGCTGTAATTATATGCATTTAAAAATGAATGTGTTGGAGGCAGAGGCAGGAGGATCGCTTGAGCTCGGGAGCTCAACAGCAGCCTGAACAAGAGCGAGACCCAAAAGAAAAAAAAAAAAATGAATGTGTTTATATGGACTTCTACTTTTCATTTATACTCAATATTGAGTATATTTCATTTAAGAGTAAGGTTAACATGTTTTATGTAGTTAATAATGATCAGTAGCCAGCATTAAATACATTTTGGGGGGCATCCTTAAATCTACTAATTCTTCATTCATTAAATGAGAATGAGGAATTCTACCTAAATAAACTTTCTCTTAAAACTCCAAAGCTCTTTTAGCTTAAAAAAAAAGATTATGTTAGCTTGCTAGGGCTGCTATAACAAAATGCTACAGACCATGTTGCTTAAACAACAGAAATTCATTTTCTGTTGGAGTCCAAGATGAAGGTGTCAGCAGGTTTGGTTTCTTCTGAGGCCCCTCTCCTTGGCTTGGAGATGGCCACCTTCTCTATCCTCACAGACAGGTATCGTCTGTGTCCTAATCTCCTCTTCCTATAAAGACACTAGTGATGTTGGATTGGGGCCCACTGTAATGACCCGTTTTACCTTAATCACCTCTTTAAAGGTCCTGTCTCCAAATACAGTCACATTGTCAGGTACTAGGAGTTAGGACTTCAACACATGAATTGGCGGGGAGGTGCAATTTAGCCCATAACAATGATTGATTAATACATATTCATTTATAAATTACAAATAACCATTATAAAAAGAAAAGTAATCTTTAATTTCACTACCTAAAATGAACCAAAGGTATATGCATGTGTGCGTTTCCGTATATATATATATCTCTGTCCTCCCAGAATTTTTTTCTGTTAATATATATGAAATAGTTTGTAAAAAAAGAGTCACCTTGAACATAATGTTTTAGAATGTGCCTTTTTCTTTTTCATTTAACAGTATATTGTTAATATCTATACTATAATTTATTAGTTAGTCCCTAAATTTCTGGAATTTAGGTTATTTATTGTTTTCTAGTATAAATAGTAAAGAGATAATCATAAAGCTTTCCTAAAAAGTCCTACAGAAAAACTTTCTAAAATGTGTGTTCTATTTTCTTCAATTATAAAACATAATCCAAATTCTTTTTTCATTTGAGCTGTCATTGTAAGTCTTGGTTATTATACTGTTACAGTATAGTGTAATATCCTCAAATTAACAACTATAGAGCTTTGTCCATTTGCTAAATGACCTTGACTCTATTTTTTGTTACTGCCTCTTATAGGATGTATTTTATCTTTTGCTTGTCACTCCAATTTCATGGTGATGACACAGTTCCTATGTAGAGCATATTCTAATGTGCTGTGACTGAAAAAGCAGTTAACCAAAACTGTTGTATTTGTCTTTAAAACAAATAATTTCTGATAAAGTCCTGAGGGATTCTGGGTGACATCAACCAATGTACAAACTTTTTAACATCAGATTTTCTTTGATTCAGAAATCTTTTCTCGCTTTCTCACTTACTTTTCATCATATGGCCACATTCTAGATAGTTTAAGTTTCCAAATAAGTAATCTTTTTATCATTGAAGTAATATTTTATAGGGAAAATGTCACTCTAAGACATATTACTTCTGAAAAATTACTCATTTTATCCTCCATTGTGACAATGACTTCTTACCTTTTCTTAAATCAGGATTACCTGAGCTGGAATTGGAAGCAATCGATAACCAGTTTGGACAGCCAGGAGCAGGTGATCAGGTTCCATGGACAAATAATACAATGACAGCTGTAAATCAGAATAAACCAGAAGAGTAAGTAATACATTTTGTATTTTACAAGATATCAGATCTCAACTTCTAAACAAAGAACTGCTTTTCGCAAACTGGATTCCAGTTTATCTTGATATTTTGTGAAATATTAATAGATGTAAATGTTTAATGAAAAAAAGGTAGGAAGAAAGACACTGAGTTAAACGGATTTATTTACTGCATGACCACAGGGCTAAGTGAACATTGTAATCACCAAGAAATTCATACAGCATTCAGCTATTGTTTTGTATTTCATCTATTATTTTGCTTTGGTTCATTACCATGATTTTTCTGGGACCTGCAAATGAATTGGCCTCATTACAATTATGTTGCTCTTGAGCTTTTAGTTATATAATTATTTTGTTCAGTATTTCTGTTTGGAGCAAGAATGTATAAGGAAGGAAAGTACTTTTTACATCTACTTAGTGTCCCATCCTGATTAAAATTTAATTTCTTAATCCACACAGGCAGCTGTATTCCATAGTATAGAGTACATCTCATACAGAGCAACCAAAGGATGACTAGATAGTATTGAGTGTGGTTTAGACTCAGAGCCTTTACTATGAATTGTATTCCCATTTACCTTCCCAGAGGAAGAATCCTTATATTATTATATTAGTGTTATTAGTATTATTTTCTGTATATTTCTGTTTTATCTATCAATTAGTATCAGTTTAGATTAGACTGCATATTTACTACATGTAAGTAATGAACAATTTGTTTTATTGCTTAACACCTAGCATATTTCATTTTTCCAGTTTGATTTCTTTTGTAAATGGTAACCATGTCATATTATCAAGATGATTTGATCATCTTTGAAAATTAAGTAATATAATATATACTGTTTTGATTATGGTTTAGTTATCAACAGTTAATGGCAACCATAAAATAGAAAAAATATGAATATAGGCTAAATGATTTTTTCCTGAGTTTTTGGCTGATTTGTATTTTTTACTTTTATTAAAAATTTTTTCCCCTTTCTTAACTGTGTTTGGTTAATTTTTCAGACCATTTGTTTAAGCTAACATGAATATGGAAGCAAAAAGTTCAGTGATTGATAAAAAAATGAAAAATATATTCAAGCTACATACCAAATATTCATTTACGTTCTGCACATTAAGCATAGAATATTTCATTGCATTGGAATTAATTGCCAAGCATCTCAAAAGAATTTTCTAGAACCAGATTTGCATATATACATGTGTGTATATGTTTGCATTCTTAAGATTGAATAATTATTTGCTATATCAGTCTGAAACTTTCTTATCTTTTGATCCTGCAGCCAGTGTATTAGTTCACAATTAGATGAGCTCCTCTGTCCACCAACAACAGTAGAAGGAAGAAATGATGAGAAGGCTCTTCTTGAACAGCTGGTATCCTTCCTCAGTGGCAAAGATGAAACTGAGCTAGCTGAACTGGACAGAGCTCTGGGAATTGACAAACTTGTTCAGGTATTTGTTAAGGTCATCATTATTTACATGATGCATTCCTGAGAAACTACAAAATGATTTTTAAGCAAAATTTTTTAATATTGTTCCTTCTATGCTTTAGCTAACTTTTATAATTTACCCCTTGTGAAAATTATCAAAATATATAATAGTTAAATAATGGCTTTTTAAACAAACAAGAAATACCATAATAATCAAGAATTATGAGTAAGTCTTAGCTTTTCACTATGGAACAGAATCTTACAAGCTCCAGCTAGAATAGAACCCAGATTTATATATTCACTTCTTATTTTAGGACTTAATTTATCCTTCATTCACAAGTGTCTTCAACGTATATATTCATGACATTCTAACTTCCTGGTTAGCATCTTTTAGACTGTGGGGTGATAAAATCAATTTAGTGTACATGACCAGCATTTTTACAATGGAGTAGAATAGTGTAGAATACGAAGTATCAGAGTGTATGGCCCATAAAAAGAGAAAATTATGCTTCGTGAAACTCTCCCCAGTTACATGCACAAATACATACACACAACAGGTCACAATTTAAAATATATTTCTTACAGTGGGTAATAGTGAAAACGTTTGAAAGTCATCACTCTATGGCCTTCTGTCATGTCAGCTATCAATTTTTTCAAATAAAAGCATGGATTCTATATTTGAGATAGAAAAATGCCTGCTTGATCCTTCCTCTAAGAATCTGCATCTTATAGGAACCTGTTAAATGTGAAGTTTATTGATTCTTAGGCTTTGCAATGAAGTTGTTTTCAAACCTTTTGGCTTCATTTCATTGATTTAAAGCCTTTATTTTAACCATATTTTTATCTGTTTACTGAGATAGTGACTATTTCAGTTAATCTATTACTCCATTTTAAAAGCAACTTTTATAAATGATTCCTTTAGGTAGCAAACTTCTAGAGAGCATGAATTCAGAATGAATATATTATGATGACACTTTCTAGCGATAACCTCCAAAATTATATAGAAAAGCATGTTGTTTATTGGCAGAAATTTATTTGTAAAATGTTTTGGCTTATTTTCTAACAGGGGGGTGGATTAGATGTGTTGTCAGAGAGATTTCCACCACAACAAGCAACACCACCTTTGATGATGGAAGAAAGACCCAACCTTTATTCCCAGCCTTACTCTTCTCCTTCTCCTACTGCCAATCTCCCTAGCCCTTTCCAAGGCATGGTCAGGCAAAAACCTTCACTGGGGACTATGCCTGTTCAAGTAACACCTCCCCGAGGTGCTTTTTCACCTGGTATGGGCATGCAGCCCAGGCAAACCCTAAACAGACCTCCAGCTGCACCTAACCAACTTCGACTTCAACTACAACAGCGATTACAGGGACAACAGCAGGTGAGTGCTTTTGTTCAGGAGTCCATACTTTTTAAAGGTATGTGCCAAGTCTCAGCAATAAGACAGCCCAATTGCTACAATAAAGTCCACTCCCAGAACCTTCATGAAAGACTCACATAACCATCTTTGGCCTGCTAGGATAGGGATAAGGGACCTTCATTCAATTAAAGGCTACTGGCTCATAACAAAGCACTTCGAAACTTAGAAGGAATTTAATTTTTGCTTTTTGAGATACAAACCCTTCAGAATGAACATTATACAGTTATTAAATTGATAAAGAGAAAGCTTAATTTACAAAGTGGAACATCAAGAGATACTGTTTATGATTGTTGGGATAAAAAGTATAGTTTATCTTGTTCAAAGTTGGAGAGATTGATGCCTAGTGACGTTATTAGGAGAGTGAAAGAAAGGATAGTTTGAGGGCCTGGAAATTGTCAGTGAGTTAAATCTTCTCTCTCGTGACAGGAAATGAGTAGGTACAGTGGCATAATACTTCAGATCGTATAAGCTGCAGAATGGAGAGTCCTCTAGGACCACAAAAGCAAGTGGTGACCAGTGTCTGCTGAGGGAATGGGACTGGGCTGCGGATTGTTGCTTCTTGTTTTCAGTCCTTCTGTATATTATGTATATTGCTTTGGATTTTTAAAAAACTGTGTAAAGAAATTCCCTGGAGCCTTACTAATTCAAGAAGGGAGAGAAAGGAGATAAATCATGTTGGAAAGGCAGTATTATAATGGTTAAAAGAGTTAGTTCTAGCTTCAAGCCCCAGTTCTAAATTTAGATGGGTTGCCTTAATCAAATTATTTACCCTTTTAAAGCTTCTCCTTCCTCATCTGTAAAGAGTCTAATAAATAATTCCTTGACCTCACAGGTAGTTGTGTGGATTAAACAAGATAAAGCATGTGAAGCCCTTAACACAGTGCCTGGCATATTATAGCACTTAGCACATACAAACTATTATTATAAAATTATATTCAATAAATATAACAGATGATATAAAATGTGCTTTTATTCAACTTAAAAAGAAGAAGATGGTGAAAGAAGGAAGGCAAAGGGTGAGATGAGAGAGGAAAAAATTTTTAAATGGTAAAATAGCAAAGAAAGGAATAATTTTTAAAATCCTGGGGCAGAATAAACAACTCAAAGAAGTATTAAGGGAAGAGAGAGGAAAAGAGAAACAGAGAGGGAGTTACATGTTCTGGGGTGTTAGTTGAAGATAAACTACTAGTCGTTATAGCTTGCTGTTCATCTTTAGGTAGAGGACACAAGAATAAGAAATGCTTAATAGTTTCCCCATATTTAATTTTTCACAAAACATATTTAGGAGAACTGTACTAGGTACTGTCAGGAATGGAAAGAATAAAGGTCCAGGCAATTTTCTGAACTTACGGTCTGTTTGGGGTAGTCAAAACATAAATACCTAAAAAGTTAAATAACACTGCAGGGCTAAATCAAAAAAGTAGAGGAAAATGTAGATATGCTGATTTCCTCATTTTACAAGCTCAAGTTCAGTAAATACTGCCTAATGTTGCAGGTTCAGTGAGCAAGGCCAGACCAAGGATCTAGGTCAGTTTTGTGCATAGATGGAATGGTGATTCATACTCGCTTCAGAAAAAAGTTGTTTTGCCTCCATTTGCTCTTAAAGCAGCTGATGAGCAGAGAAGCCCTGCAAAGCCTATAACATGAAGATAAGTTTACAAATAGGTGAATGTTGCTGCCCTTTGCTTCCTTTAAATCTCGTGAAGACATCCAAAGTTTGATGGCCTCATTAGTCCAAAAGAGTGAAGTATCCACCAAGTTGAAGAAACGCAGAATTTGGACTCAGTATGTTTTAAGCCCCCACATATGTCAATACACAAAAACAGCTTCTGCTACCACATAAGATAGTAACTCTCCCTCGCAAGTCACATGTCCAGGCCTGCTCTCTGTGTTCTGGGCCGTAAGTTCTGGCTGTCTCAGCAATGGGCTGCTCAGCTTTGCTTGCACTTCAGGTGCCAGGAGTTTTACATGTGTGTCCCCTTAAGGGCTTTCTGTGAGCAAGTCTGGCCAAGGCTTATCTCAGTCAATGTCTCAGGTAAGATGCTTTCAACAGCAAGGAAAGAAAAAAGATCAACTCAAAGTAGTAAAACAATAAAGAAAATACTTTGATTCAAATGTTAAGATAATCCAAAATAGAGGCAGGTCCAGGTGTGGTTATTTCAGAGGTTCAGGTATGTTATCAAGAACCTGTTAGGGTGTGAAATCCCTGTGCCAGTGAGAAAGATTTCTCAAAGTTTAGGACAGAAAGAAGCACAAAGTTTATTTACTCGTTCTGGGAAGAGAGAGAGGGTGCAGCGCCAGAAATAAAGGGAGGAGCTGGCCCTGAGGCCAAACAACCTGACTCTTTATTAGGACATGTTGAGCCCAGGTAGGAGGGATTTATGATGTAGCCCGATTAGCAGAAGACAGCTGAGAAACTGTTGTGTTGGCTTTTTTTTTTGTTTTTTACATAGCAGATTGATCACAGAAGTTAGTCTCTTCTTTCCTCTTGGTAACAGGAGGCATCCAGTGCCGTCTCTGTTAGAGGAAGTGGGGGAAGTTCACACTCCTACTCTCTGCTGAGGAACTTTTTTAAGGCTGTTTAAACAATATTCAAAAACCTTTTACGGGCAGTGAATTTTAATGTCAGTTTACCTTCTTTTGTTTGCTCAGCTTCTTTTAAGTGCTAGGTAAACATCTCTGTAGGAGAGATATTCATGTTAGTAACCTTAGAAACAGGGTTCATACCACTCTCAGTGGCTGTCAGTTAGAAATTTATTTTTCTTGTTAGCCCGGTAATCCTTGGTATGCCATGATTACAGATATCACATGCAAACAAAACTATATCTAACAGGAGAAAAGGGACTGTTTCTTTCCTATGCAGCTCTTTTCAAATGCCAGGAAACTTTTTCCAGAAGGCTTTCTTCCTCCCCTAACCCTCCCCCCAAAAAAAAGAAAAAAGAAGGAGAAAAAGGAAAAAAAAATAAGACTTCACATGTCTGGCTAGCCAGAACTGAGTCACATGTACAACCTTAACCACTTGCTGGCAAGGATTGACTTAGAGCGCTCATATTACCCCTGGAGTCGTGATTTGGATTGATCAGCTGAACAGAATCCTATTCTGTCTTCAAGGAAGAAGGGGAGAGTAAATGGCTGTGAGTTGGCAATAACAGTACCTGATAAAAATCAAGAAATTGAGGTTTAAATGTATTACTTAAAGTCACATGGATAAGCTCATAATTGAGATCAAATAGTAAACTGATACAGCATGTCTACTCTTTCTCCTGCCTTAAATCCTATTAAATGACAGGTTGTATATTTCAAGTGACTAAATTCATATCAATATCGACAAAAAAAGAGAATACCATTAGCACACTAAAAAATTAAGTCATTTTGAAATATAGAAAGCAAACATGAGAAAGAAACAAAATTGTCATATGTAGATAATATGACTGCTTACATAAAAAATGAATCTATAGGGAACTTAGAACAAATTTCAGTAAAGGTTTTAGATAAAAGAACAAGAAACAAAAATTAATGGCAATCCTTTTTATTAGTAACAACCCCTTAGAAAATATAATTTCCAAATACGTTCACAATGTGCAAAACTTAGAAAATTATAAATCATAATTGAAAGGCAAAAAGAAAATATAAACAAAAAATATTCATGAATTTAAAGAAATTATATTTTCTAAGGGGTTGTTGCTAATAAAAAGGTGACAGTTGTTCCAAAATTAATCAGTGAATCCAGTGGCATTCCAACAAAATTGCAACTTGGAAATTTGACAAACAGATACGAAATTTATTTTAGAAGCATCAATATAATCTTGAAGAAAAATGAGGCTATACTTACTCTGCCAGATATCAAGATTTAAAACAAAACTTTGGAAATTAAAACAGTGTGAAACTGGCATGCAGATAGATAGTTCTACCAATAGAAGCATAATAGCCCAGAAACACACCCAGTCATATATAGAAACTTAGTAAAAGACAGAGGTAGCAATCAGTGGGGAGAAGATGGCCTCTGTAATACATGCTGGTACATTTTAGCTGTCCATGAGGAGGAAAAAATTAAATTAGATCCTTATCTCATATAGTGCATAAAAATAAACTCGAGGTGTTTTGATGATGTAAATGTGAAAATGAGAATATCTGTATGGCCTCTTAAAAAAAGACAAAGGACAAGTTAATATTTGCATTAAAATCTGAAACTTACGAAAGGTACCATAAACAAGTTAAAAGGCAAGACAAAGACTCAAAGAAGATATTTATAACCCCATATAACTGGCAAAGGACTAGTATCCAGAATATACCAAGTTCATAATCTGGTATTCATAATACACTGACCACCTTGGTGCATTAATTTCATCTGTTTATTTGTCAGTCATATCCTTTCCTTCCCTCTTCCCAAATACAGAAGACTGTAAGCATCTCACAGGCAAGAAGTTAGCAGAGTGCCTAATGATTTGAGAAAGGAAGGAAAGAAGCATACTCAGATCTATATCATAGTTTGTTTGTTATTAATAACTTTTAAGAAGATCAGTTTAAAAACAGAGAAAAACATTAAAAAATATAGCACTTTGGGAGGCCAAGGTGGGAGGCTCACTGAGGAGTTCGAAACCAGCCTGGGCAACATAGTGAGACCCGTCTCTACAAAAAAACTACTAAAAAAATTAGCCAGACATGATGACTTGTACCTGTAGCCCTACATATTAATACTTAGGTGGCTAAGATGGAAGAATCACTTTTGCCCAGGAGTTTGAGATTAGTGAGCTACGATCACACCACTGTACTCCAGCCTCAGTGACATAGCAAGACCCTGTCTCTAAAAAAATAAATAAATATATAAATAGAAATGATATCTTGGCCCTAAGTATATTTTACTGGCTGTAATATTGTATACAAGGAGTAAAAAGATTCTAACATTTTTAATTCAATTTATAGCTACATTGGTTGAGACTTACAAAACAGTAAAAATGAAGGAAGCAGCTGGTGATTAAGAAGTAATTTAGTTATAAG